GGCTCCAGCCCTGGCTGCCCCGTGGAACCTCACCGGGCCGGCACAGGGAGGCTGGGGCTCTGGCAACGCTGGGGGCTCCAGCACCAGCTCCAGCGCTGGCAATAGTCCAGCACCAGCTCTACCACGAACAACAGCTCCAGCACCAGCTTGAGCATCAACCAGAGCTCCAGCATCAACCACAGCTCCAGCACCAGCTCTACCACGAACAACAGCTCCAGCACCAGCTTGAGCATCAACCAGAGCTCCAGCATCAACCACAGCTCCAGCACCAGCTCTACCACGAACAAAAGCTCCAGCACCAGCTCTAACTCCGCCACCAGCTGCCGGCACCGATGCCACCTCGCAGCCCTGCACCTCCGTCCGGCAGCCCCATGGCGAGCCCGCCAGCTGGCCCAGCTAATCTCCACTTAGAGCCTCCATATGTCTGTGTGTCCGCGGGGTTTAACCCCTCTTGGGCCTCCGCAAGCTCCCTGCACCCCAGGGGGTGGCTCCCAAATCTTGGGGTCCCCTGGAGCCCTCATCCCTGATGCCCTGGGGCCACGCAGGGGCTGCAGAGCCCGTCTTGGAGGGCGAGGGTGCCTGGAAGGGTTAAACCCAGCCGGCTGAAGGTCATCCCCTGCACATGGCTTTGGTAATTCGGAGTAAATGTTTAATCTGAAGGAGCCCCGGGGCAGTAAATGAGATTATCCCGGCCAGACTGCGCCTGGGGGGACCTCCTGCCTCACCCGCCAGTGCCCACCATTTAATTAATGCTTCTAATGGACTTTGCTGATGATGAGCGGCCGGGCAGCCCTGAGGAGGCTTCTCCACAGCATGGGGGGACCCTGTCCTGTCCCTGTCCCCCCAAGTCAAGCCCTGCCGGCCGGAGGTCCCGGCCATGGCCAGCTTCCAGGCAGCGCTCGACGCTGCTTGTTTTCTAATCAGTGCTGAACAAACAAAGCGCTGATTGAGTCTAATGGGCCCTTTAATCAGGGAGCCGGGTGCTGACACTAGATTACAGTGTTTATAATTTACAGCTAATCTTCTGGGCGAAGGGAAAGGAAACAAAAAAAAAAAAAAAAAGGAAAAAAAAGGGGGGGAAGGGGGGGGCGGGCGGGGACCCTTGCGGGGAGCGCGGCAGCCAGCCGGGAGCCGCTCACCGTTCACCACCGTCCGCCGGGTGATCTCCCAGAGCACCAGGCCGTACGCCCAGATGTCCGTCTTCTTGTAGGACTCGAAGCAGTCGGTGCGGATCTGCTCGCTGAGGACCTCGGGGGCCATGTAGCGCTTGGTGCCCACCCGGGGGTTGTTGCCGATGTCCAGGTAGTCGCTGCCCTGGGAGTGCATGACGGCCAGCCCTGGAGGGATGCCGGCCCTGGTCAGGGCCGTGCTGGTGTTGCATCCCCAGGATGCTGCATCCCTGGGGTCCCACATCCCTGGGGTCCCACATCCCTGGGGTCCCACATCCCTGGGGCGCTGCATCCCCGGGGTCCCCGGTTCCACCGCCCTGGGGCGCTGCATCCCCGGGGTCCCACATTCCTGGAGCACTGCATCCCTGTGGTTCCACAGCCCTGGGGTCCCACATCCCTGGGGTCCCACATCCCTGGGGTCCCACATCCCTGGGGCGCTGCATCCCCGGGGTCCCACATTCCTGGAGCACTGCATCCCTGTGGTTCCACAGCCCTGGGGTCCCACATCCCTGGGGTCCCACATCCCTGGGGTCCCACATCCCCGGGGCACTGCATCCCCGGGGTCCCACATTCCTGGAGCACTGCATCCCTGTGGTTCCACAGCCCTGTCGTACCAGCGCCGTGGGG